GAGAGACACGGAGGGCCCAAGAGCTGTGCCCTGTCTCAGAACCTGCTCTCCCTGAGGAAGCCCCTGCCATTTGTGCCCCCGCAACACCTCTCCCCCATCTGGGCCCAGTTCTCAAGCCGCTGACCGTGGCACTGACGTTGATGGGGGCTCTGTGGATACTGGCAAGCCTTTCTCTTCTCCACACATTGGAACAGTGAGTTGATGTTGTTAGGGGTCGAATCGTGTCCCCCCAGGTTCATGTGTGGAATGCTAAGCCCTCACACCTCAGGATGTGACCTTAGATGGTCTTTGCAGAAGTCCTCAAGTTAAAGAGGTCGGTGGACCCTGATCCACTAGGACTGGGGGAAAAAAGGGAAAATTTGGAGAGAGACAGATGTGCACAGAAAGAGGATGTGAAGACACAGGGAGGAGACGGCCTTCCGCAAGCCGGGGACAGAGGCCTGGAACACACCCTCCCCTCACTGCCCTGGGAAGGAAGCAATCCTACCTTGGTTCTGGAGTTTCGACCTTCGGGACTGGGACATAATACCTTCCCGCCTGGCCTGACTGCTTCATTACATAATCCAGGATCCGAGGCCCTGTCGTGCTCCTAGAGGGGCCAGACAGCCATCAGGCCCAGAAGGACCCGTGGCTGCGTCCAGGGCCGAGGCTGCGCTCCACCCCCACTCCCCGGGACCTGCGACGGACTCTGTGCCCGAGGGAGAATGAATGAGTGAATGTACGGGTGGTTTTGCGGGCTCCCTTGTGGGGATAGGGTGGGTGGGTCACTGAGAGCCAAACGGGTTCTCGTGGGCCAGGCTTGGACTCAGATACCTTCAAGACATGGGTGCAGGCTTCTGGGACTGGGCTGCCGGCACCCAGTTGGGAACAGAGCTGAGAACTGAGTCCAGCAGATGGTCTTGGCTCCTAACCCCACTCACCTGTGCTGACCAGTCCGTGCTTCCGGGACCCCAGCCGGCTGGTCACACCCGTGAACACTCGGTCCTCCGGGCTCTGGAGGCAGGAGAGTAAGAAGGAATATGCTAGGTGGCTCCCATTTGATATGTGTGTGGGAGAGATGGAGACAAGAAAATGGTCATGGGCACGCCAGGCACACACGCACCACTGGGTCAGGATGGTCCCAGTGCCTGGAGGGGGACACTGAGGGGGACACTGAGAGACAGGAGGCTCCTCCATCTGGCCATCTGGCTGAGCCCTGGGGCACAGCATCCTGCCTACAGCCTCCTGCATCAGTGGGTTTGGTGTGGGGAAAGCAGAGTCATCGGAGGGGCCCTTACGTCGGGGAGGAGCCTGCGGTCGCTGAGGAAGCCAACGCCTTTGATGACACAGTCGAGCCTCCCTGTGGCTCCCATGCTGGTTCCTCATTTCTGGCGGTTTCCAGACTCCTCAGTGCACTTGAACTGTCCCTTAAGGCCCTTAAAAGAAAGGTGCTGTCTGGGAGAAGGTGCTGGGGGTGAAAGCTGTGAGGAGAGGACACGGTAGTCCCTTCCTGGCAGCACAGAGAGGGACCCTGCAAACCCAGGGCTGGAGCCTGGGACAGCTATGGGGCCGAGGGGAGCACGGAGGAGGCCTGCCCGCGGGGTGGGGGGCACGGTGGTCGGTTGTGGTCCTCTGTTGCGTCTCCCCGTTGTAATTCTGATCCCTGAGAGGCCCCCGGCCTCCCCTCCATGCACCTGAACCAGGTACTGGGAGATGGGACAGGAAGGGGCCTGGTCTGAGCACGAGAGGGCATGCCAGGCGCTTGCCCAGACCCAGACCCAGACAGGCTGCTTTCTCCCCCGAGAGTGGACGCTGGGGAGGTGGGGACGGGGAAGGGCCTTGCTTCCACTGCAGGATGTGTTGAAAGCAGACCCTTTGCTCCTGGCTTCTTCTGCGGCAGAAGACCTGTGTGAGGGTGCCAGTGCATTTGTGTTACAAAAAGCCACTTGTTTTTCTTCCTGTGGAGGGAAACCCAGCTCTCCCCTCTCCTGTGTGTCTCCCTTGCTACTCAGCCAGGACATTTCGCTTCTGGTCACCAAACGTGTGGGATTTGCCCTCACGCCCAGCAACTCGGCTTGCATCCGTCCCCCCAGGAGAAGGGCTCAGTCCCATGAGACTGTCCCCCACTTCAGATGCCACTTGCAAACCGTCGGTCCCCAGGTGACCCATAATTCTGTCCGACTTGGATGCAAATCGGGGTTCCCTGACCTGTTCCCCACTGGTTTGCCAACCCGGCTTGCGGGACTCAGGGACACACTTAGATTTACCCGTTTACGAAAGGATATGACAAAGAACAGCGGAAGAGCCGGACCAAGAGCTAGGCAGGGCCAGGACTGGGAGGGTCCCAGGCCCAGGAGCGTCTGCAGCCGTGGGGCAGGGCGCGCCCTCCTTCCCGTGTGAGCGTGTTCACCAGCCCGGCCGCTCTGCAGGCCCTGCACTCTTGGGGTTCTTCGAGAGGATTGACAGGGACCGTGAGCTCTATCTTCAGCCCTTCTTCCTGCTCAAGAGAACAGGGATGGCCTGAAAGTTCCAAACTTCTGTGCATGGCGTGGTCAGTCCTGTGACCAGGAACCATCCAGGAGCCATCTGGAGTCACCTCATTAGAACAAAGGACATGCCTGTCACCCAGGAAATTACAAGAGTTTCAGGAGTTCTGGGCAGAGACCTGGACACATTCCCTGTGATCTCACGCGAGTAGGAGGAACTGCCTTTCAGCTGGGAGCGAGGGAGGTCCTGCTCTGGGGGAGGTTTGCCCCCGCCCTCCTCCTTCCTGCTCTCCCAGCCAGGGCTCAGCCCTCTGGCAGCAGCCCCAGGTGGCAGGGGAACGTCAGAGCCGCAACCCCCTGACATGGTCCCTGCTTTGTACCAAAGCACCCGGGATAGCCCTGGGCTGGAGGCCGGCTCCGAGCGCCCAGAGTCCAGAAACACAAGGGCACCCCTGGCACTGGGAGCATCACTACCTGCCTCTCGTGGGTGCAGGGGGAGCGACCTGTCCTTGTCTGTGTCCTCCCAGGGCGGAGATGGGGGCCCGGAGAAGGTATTTCCTGTCTGACGGCATGTTGATGTCCTCTGTCAGCAGCTCCGCTCGAGGCTCCTGGGGTCCCGCCCTGTGCCTAGAAGGCCCCCTGGTCCCAGCATCCTGCGTGTCGGGTGGTCTTACAAGCCAGCAGCTGGGAGCTGCCCGGGAAATGATCAGGTGATGATGCTGGTGGAGTCCCACAGGGCTCTGGAAAGTGGGCTGTCCCCTGTCGGGGTGAGGATATGAGGAAATGGGCTTGTTTGGGGACCCTGGCTCCCCTGCACCCACGTGCCCAGGCTGAAGGACTGGCCAGCCAGAATGCCACAGGCTGCTTCTCCGTTCAGCCCGTGGCCCCACCCACAGCGAAGTCGCTGCTCCCAGGAGCCCACGGTATCCCTCCCCTGTACTGCTGCGCAGCCACATGGCCACGACACTAGCCGCAGAAGGCCACACACTCTTGTCTCTGGTTTCTGGGGGGCAGGAGGGCGGCCGCAGTGCAGCTGGACCCTCCACAGTCTGGGGAAAGATCCGCTTCTGAGCCCACATAGTCTCTGCTCTGTAGGCCCAAGGGTCTCCGTCGGCCGGGGTGCCCCATGGCCCTGTGGACTACCCCACAGGGCCACGTGCTCCAGCAAAGCCAGCAGTGGGGGGACAGACGCCCAGCAGGGCGGCTGTTCCACTGGACGTGATGTAATCCCACGAGAGTGTGGCCACGTTTGTGGGATTTCACAGGGACAAGCCAGTCTCAGGAGGCGAGCACCAGGAGGTAGGGTCATCGGGGGCCACCTTCCCCTCCCTGCCCGCCACACCCTTCCTGCCTTTCCTCACCTTCTGCTTGTCCAACCCCCTGCCGCCGTCCAGCCCCACCATGCTGTCAACCCACTAGAGGTAAGGGGCACCGCAAGGCTGAGGGGCCGGCTTGGGGGGGCTCCCCTAGAGCCCTCTGCCTGAGCCGTCCCTTTGTGAGTCTGTGCCCCCCCCAAACTGCGAGCCGCGTGGGGGTAGGGGCTGCCCGTCTCTGTGTCCCAGGGCCTGGTGCTGCTTGAGACGCAGAGGGACCCCGCAGGTGTTTGTCGAGGGAGCAAAAGCGCTAACGCGTGAGTTGCCGAACCAAGGGCAGGTTAATAAATTAAGGCATGTTGCTCCAGAGCAGAGCAAGGTTCAAGTTCAATGACGGTGTGAATTTGGGACGTTGCCGCTAGCTCCCTAAGCCTCTGTTTTCCCAGCTGTGCAGTGGAGAGAGGGATAGCACCTCCCGCAAAAGGCCATCGCGAGTTGTTAGAGAACCCATGTTGGAGCCCTGAACTGGCGGTCGATGGCCCTTGTCACCTGGCTGACGGCTGGGTCTTTGGCCTGCGCTCGTTCACTGCTCCCTTTCCCACAGGATGCCAGCCTGCAGAGTCCTCAGCAGCAAATGGGACCCGTGCTCAGCAGAGGGGTGCTCGTGACCAGAGGCACAGCAGGGGTGGGGGGCTCCGAGTGGGGGCCTCAGGCCGGCTAGCGAGTGGGAGTGCGAGCTGCCTGATTATGCAGACTCCGCTGCTGTCAGGGGTCAGTTTGCGGTCTTTGATTGAGCGGGGAGGAGGGGGAGGGTGGGGGTTATAAAAAGAAGTGTTTGACTAGGTAATCTCTCTGGAGGAGCCCTGCAGAGGCCTCCGGGGTGAGTGGGGGGAGGGTGGAGGAGGGCGGGTTACCCAGGGGCCTCTCCCTCTCTCGTCTCTGGGAGGGAGCTCTGACTCCAGAGAATTCGAACCTCTGCCTAGCTGACTTGCTTCCCAGCCAAGCCATGTGGCCGGTCACGCTCCTGCCTTCCGCCCTTGCCCGACACAGGCCGCGGGGGTGAAAGATTGCTTCCAGTTGGTCGGCTTCCAGGCCGAGCGTGCTCGGACGGTGGTGTGCTCTCCAACCAGCCCACGGCCCAGAAGTGCGCACGGAACCTTGGCCCCGGCCATCCGGGCAGCCCAGGCAGTCTGGCCAAGGCGATGAAGGTGCTGGCCCCGTTATGCTCACCGTGGATGATGTTCTGGAGCAGGTCGGCGAGTTTGGCTGGTTCCAGAAGCAAGCCTTCCTAACCCTGTGCCTGCTCTCCGCTGCCTTCGCCCCCATCTACGTGGGCATCGTCTTCCTGGCTTTCACCCCAGATCACCGCTGCCTGAGCCCCGGGGTGGCTGAGCTGAGCCAGCGATGCGGCTGGAGCCTGGCAGAGGAGCTGAACTACACGGTGCCCGGCCCGGGGGCCACCGGCGAGGACTTCCCCCGCCACTGCCGAGGCTACGAGGTGGACTGGAACCAGAGCGGCCTCAGCTGCGTGGACCCGCTGGCCGGCCTGGCCGCCAATAGGAGTCACCTGCCGCTGGGGCCCTGTCGGCACGGCTGGGTGTACGACACGCCCGGCTTGTCCATCGTGACCGAGGTAAGGGCAAGCCCCGGGTCTGGGGGAGCAGGTGGATTTTAGGAGCAGGGAGGAAACACACAACAAATCCTAGGGGGTTTGGTTTCACATCAGGTTAGAGGGAGGAGAGTTCTATCCACTGAGCACTTAGGACACTTCTGGCTCTGTGCTGGGCACTCTGCATCCTTCCACCATCTGGTCCCCTACGGACGCTGGCCGCTAGAGGGGCAGGTGGAGGTCAGGGAGCCCTTTGCAAGCCAGGCTGGATTGTTGAACACGGGTCTACGGGGAGACGGGTTTTCCTCTTCTTTCTGCCCTGCTGGCTTCTCCAAGAGCCCGTAGAATTCACTTGGGGTGCCGTTAGAATGGTGGGTCCCCCTCCTTCACGCGTGTGACAGCTACGGGCCCTCTGGGGTGGTTTGGAAGCCGGAGTCAGGCTGTTTTAGTCCCGGCCGTGCTCCAGATCTGCTGGGCATCCCTGAGGATGTTACCCAGCGTCACGGAGGTACAGGTATATCCGCTTCCCACAGGGTCAGTGGGTTCAGCTGTGGGTGGCGGACCCGCTCCCGGCCTGCAGGAGGGGCTGATGGGGTCAAAGGGCCTCGCTCGCAGAGTTCAGTGGGTCCTTTCTGTGTTGTGCCTCGAGAATATTTTAGTCAAAGGCCACCTGATTTTTTTTCCTTTGCGGATCTTTTTGAAAGTGTCACCAAGCGTGGGCCCTTGGAAATTGGCATCAAGGTTGGTTGTTGAAGCCACAGACCAGAAGCTCTGCAGAGTTGCTCTGTTAGCAAAGCTTGGTTTGGGTGCTTACCTGAAACCGGAGGTAACTGAGTGGTTTTGGCATCAACACAGCCAAGGCTCTTACTGGAGGAAGAGGCTGTGTCCTCTCCTCTGGCCTGATCAGGTCCCTGCTGGGGGGGTCGGACTGGGAAGGGGACAGAACGGGAGTTTCCCCTTCAGGAGAAACAGGTGCAGGTGTGACTTGCTTTACCTGAAAACGCATGAACACCTGGTTTCCAAGGCTTCCTCTGGTGCCAGCATGTGCTAATTCGGGGACAGTGAGCTGTTAACGCTGATTCGAATTCAGGGCTCTGGGGAGGAGCGTGGGGGTGAAGGGTGTGACCCCTCCTTCTCCGCCGGAGTGCAGAGTCCTTATGGAAGGCTGCCAGAAGAAATGCAGGACACCGAGTTAAATTTGAATTTCAGATAAATGATAAACAATTTTTAAACATAATTATGTCCCAGATGTTACACAATGTTTGATGCTGATAACCGAGGCGGGAATACAAATGTTGCACGAAGACGTACTTACACTAAAAAAAAAATGTGTTGTTTATCTGAAATTCAGATTGGACCAGGTACCCTGGGTTTTCTTTCCTAAGCCTGGCAACTCGGCCTTCATGCCAGACGAGGAAGTTCGCTGTGGTTTCTGCAGAGGAGGAAGACAGTCCTAGTGGGACATTGGGAACTGTCTGGATGCGGGGTGCATCCCCAGAGGAGACACAGTCCTGGCCTGGGCTGGGGGGAAGGGCCCCAACTTGCCCGAGGGTTCTTGGTGGGAGGGGGGTGAGCAGGGCCACTGAGCCTGAGCCTGGACCACAGGAGAAGGAGGGGTTGGGGCTGCGGAGGAGCCGGGCAGGGTGGTGGCCAGGAGGGGTGGGGCAGCGGACACGGAGGGGCAGCGGGAGGGGGAGGGTCAGACGCAAGGGGGCCGAAAGAGCTCCAGAAATAGTGACTGTCTGTGGCAGCCCAGCTGGGCTCCCAGGAGACCCTAGATCTAAGCGCTGGCAAGGACTGAGGGGCTCCTGGCACTCTCATTCACGGGCGGAGTGTGCCCCGTGCCAGGCGGTGGGGGTGTGCCAGAGGCAGGGGCGCGGGGGCTCTAGGGTGGGAGAGGGCAGGAGCCCTCGGCAGCCCCCCACCCCCACGCCTTTAAACCCGCCTTGGCCTCTGTTTCTCCTCCTGCGCTGCCGCTTATTCTCAGGGGCTTTGCCTTCATGATGCCTTTCTGCAGGAATAATCTTTAACTCAGCCATGCCTTGGACGTTGGAACCTGCTTGAGGGGGGATGCTGAAGCACCCCTTTGCACATCCCAGCGGCGCTGCCCTTCCGAGCTCGGGGTGGGGCCTGGGGCTCCATCTGGGGAAGGAACATGCACGTTCCCTGACCTCTGAGTCCCATGTCCTTCCGGCTGCAGCCCCGCAGTGGGCTGGGGCCCCCGTCCTGGCTGGTTAGCTCCGTCTTCCCCGGCCTGTGAGTGTGAGCCGGAGAAAGGGCTCAGCCCCAGGTCACGGGAGGGCTCTGTCACCGTTCCCAAACACGTCTCATCCTAGAGATCTCCTGGCTTCTGGCCTGAGATCTGCTGAGACCGGATCCACAGCGGTCTGTGTTCTGACAAGGACTCTGGGGGATTCTCACGATCAGACGAGCTTGGAGAACACAGACTGTGTCTGAGACCCCAGACCCTAGCCCTGGCAGAACCCCAGTGGGAGCAGCGACCCATCCAGTGCCCCCCACTCCACACCACCCAAGGCTTTCCTGGGGTCTGGGCCTGTCTTCCCGGTATGCACAAATGTGCTGGGGGCAGTGGTTGGGTGTGAGCTGGGGGGGCACGAGGCATGGAAGGTGACCCTAGACACAGACCCTGAGCCTCGTGGGGGCACAGATCTCCACAGACAAGGCCAGATGCCCCTTCCTCCGGCTCCGTGAGCGCCCTGGTTTCTGTACAGTCTGGGGGACAAGACGGCACCCTGGGCATCTGAGGAAGGGGGGCAGGGACACCTTACAGACACGCTCATGACGAAGATTAGAGCGAAAGACACAAACTGGTGTCCAATGCAGTGTAAGTGGGATGTGGTCTTGGACAGGTGGGTAGAGGCTACGAGAAGACAGTGGGTGGTTGGAGAGGCAGACCCTGGGACAGCCAGATAACACCCAAGAGCGATCTGTCCCTCCGTTTCCTAATGGCAGGGCCCACTGCAGGCCGGGAAGATGGAAGATGGCAGAAGCTCTGCGGGGATGCTGTGCTTTCAGCTGAAGGGAGTGAATGTTTGGGTTTGGTAGAGGGAATGCCCACGTGCTGAGTGGTAGCCTGTGGTGCCTCCCAAAGCTGTGCCACTCCCAGGAGCCAACCCTGGGGTGCAGGCGGGGGTAGCAGGTCACAGGACAGGCTTGGGATTCATTTCTGAGTCAAGTGGTAACCCAGAGTGCTACCCAGATTTTATATTGAAAAGTGCTCATGTCAAGGAAGTAAGCAGCCAGTTAGAGGGACCCCCAGGCTGACGGAGCCCAGAGCCCTGGGGCCCTTAATGGTTGACCCCAGGGCCCGGGACTGGGGGTGGGGCGAAGGGGCTGGTTTTAACCAGCACCTGAAATATTTGCGGGCAGTGGGCTATAGTCAAACCTCTATTCTAAAGGGTAAAGTGTTTGTTATTTACCTAAACCCTATTCACAGGACTCCTCCTCTTCTGTGCTCACACCAGCTCTGTGAGTGGGACAGGACAGGGGCAATACACACGGTTCACACTGGGAAACTGAGGCCCGCAGTGGTGAAGTGACTTTCTTACTGTCACACATCTCCCAGCGTCATCTGGTAGGGGGAGCCATGAATCCGAAGTACTTAGAGCAGGACAGAGACAGGGAGAGAGGAAGGGTGTGCCCCAGGGCTGTGCCAAGAATGGGGATGATGTGAGGGCCCCAGCCGTGGAGCTCTACACCTTGCTTCTACCTTCTCTGCACCCCAGTGAGGAAGTGGGATGCTTCTCCTCCTCCTCTTCTTCCTTCCCCTCCTCTTCCTCCTTTTCCTCTTCTTCCTCCTCCTTGGGGTTGTCGGGGCTTCTCAGTGCCCAGGTGTGTGCCCCCTGCGGTGCAACTTCCCCTAAAACTCAACAGAGCCCTTCCCCAGGTGGGTCTGTCCTGCCTTTGCCCCTGGCTCCCTCCTGCCCTGTCCCTCCCCTCGCTGGCTCTGGGCGCAGTGCTCCCTCTGAGTCTCCGGCCAACCTGGGTCCTGAGCGCAAGACCCCAGTGCCCACACTGCTCTCACCAAGCCTGGCTTCTTGCCCGAGTGTCTTTGCTCAGCCCCTCCCGGGGCCACTCATGGCCACACCCCCCATGACAGAATCTCCAGGATCATCGCTGGACCTCACATAATTAAAAATATAATTAACAGGTACTTAATCGAGGGCTTTTGACCAGTTCTGAAAACGTGTTCGATTTATTTGGCTACATTTCTGTCTTTAGGAAATTGCTGTGCTATACTTCTTTTTAGAAGACCATCTGCTGGCCATGTTGTCTTTCAATAACCGACGGCCAAGGTCAAAGCTCTTGACAGTGGTGAGGGTAAAACAAAGATACTTGAGATATAGCGTAGCAGGTGAGATTCACCGGAAACCTGAAATTTGTTTTATGAAAATGTGGTAAGAAAAAAATGATGAGAAACCCTTGGGCCTATCACACTTCGGGGTAAACACTGATTTTGTCTGGAGAGAGGACGGAAGGGACACTTGGACTTATAAACCGTCTTGTGTTTCCGGCCCCTCCGACCATGGCGTGACCCGCAGTTTAACCTGGTGTGTGACGACTCTTGGAAGGTGGACCTCTTTCAGTCCTGCGTGAACCTGGGCTTCTTCCTGGGCTCTCTGGGTGTCGGCTACATTGCAGACCGGTACGTAAAGGCCAAGCCAACTGAACGCAGCGGCAATGCCATGAGGAGAATGGATCACAGGGGACAGTGGTGGGAGTGTCCAGCTGGTTGAAACCTACCGCAGATGCTGATGGAGAGAGACCTGGTAGCTAGAGCTTTGGAGTGGGGTAGGGTAGCAAGATGGAGTAAGGGTGGGGATTCAGGATGGACTTGGGGGGCCAAAACTCATGCATATTGTATAGTTGGGTGGTGGGCTGAGAGAAGACGGGGACAAAGCCAAGGTATACACATGCAGCCGTTGGGTGAGGTGAGGGTAGGGACAGACGGGGTTAGAAAAAGGCTTCAGTTGTGGGGGGAGGGGGTGGGGAGCCATCCTGAGTTTGGTCCTGTGCTAAGCATAGCCCAGGAGGCAAAGAAAAGATACCACATAGGGAGCTGGGTACGTGAGTTGTGCTCAGAAGAGCGGTTTGTGGGCGCCTGGGTGGCTCAGTGGGTTAAGCCGCTGCCTTCGGCTCAGGTCATGATCTCAGGTCCCTGGGATCGAGTCCCGCGTCGGGCTCTCTGCTCAGCAGGGAGCCTGCTTCCCTCTCTCTCCCTCCCTCTCTCTGCCTACCTCTCCATCTACTTGTGATCTCTCTCTGTCAAATAAATAAATAAAATCTTAAAAAAGAAGAGCGGTTTGTGCTAGAGATAAACATTTGGGATTTGTCAGCAGGAGCTGGTATTTAAAGCCGTCAACCATGGTTGAGATAAGCAGTGGAGCGCATAGAGGTTGTTAGGGAAGGAGTTGCTGGCAAAGGAGATGTAGGGGAAACGACAGGGAGGTAGAAAGACACCCACTGTCCCAGCATAGTGTGGAGTTATAGAACACAAGACGGGACTGGCCTGACGGGGAGGAGTGGCCCAGATCTGCAGACAAGGCACCCCACGACTACCAGGGACAAGGATGGTGTCAGGGGAAGGCTGAGGAGAAGCGAGAGAGGAGGAAGTAGAGTTTGGGTGCGTGGACAACCCTGTAAGGCAAGTGGGGTGGGAGGGACAGGGGACAGGCAAAGGGTCCAGGATGGGGGTGACCGCACCGCACCATGGAGGGCTTGAGGAACCAACGGGGCCGTGGAAGGGCTGGGTGCCAGGGGAGCAGGTGGAGCAGCCTTTGGTCGGAGGCACAGGAGAAGAGATGAAGGTGGATGCAGATGACATTAGTTCTGATTGTTTGGGGGTGACGGGTGTGAGCGTCCAACGGGAGGTTTCTACATTAGTGCAGGATGAGGATGTTTACTCGCTGGTGTGGGGCCGTGCTGGGCGGGAACATGGGGCTGGAGGTGAGGGGCAAGGAGTAGGGGATGTTGGGCCCGGGCTGGAGTCTAGGAGGCAGGGGGCAGGGAACGCCGAGGTTGCAGGGTGGGGAGATGTGGGGGTAGGGACCAGGTCGGGTGTGTGACCACACAGGAGGTTGACCCGCTGCTTCCTCGAGTAGCCACTGGAGTGTGGGATCAGGTTGGAAAGATGGAGTTAATGAAGCTCCCTACTGGGATGAAGAGTTAGCAAGTGATTTGCCCGTTTCATTCATGAAGAAAGGAAAGGGAAATAATCCTCAATTGTTATACCATGAGAACTGAATATTTTCCCAGAAAAGTTTTTGAGGCCGCTGATAAGGCTGGCATGTTAATAATAACGCAGTCTGCCGGGCGATGAGGGGGGCACCTGTGGGGACCTGCAGAGCCCTGGGGAGCAGCCCTCCCTGGCTGAGATGCCACATGCCTGAGAGCATAGGGATCCTGGCTTCCTCCTTACAGTGAGTTAATGAACCTCAAAAGGGCCACTGTTCCCTGAGGACCACACATTTGGGCCCTTGGTCGGGAGGCAGTCCTTCAGGACACAGTGACACATGCTTCCCGATCAAGACCCTCGCTGTCGCTTGGTGCCCATTGGACCCCAAATACTCAACACCCACCCCCACTACCCTGTCTCCTTGCCTCTGAAGGTTTGGCCGAAAATTATGTCTCTTGGCCACCACCCTCGTCGGTGCTGTGTTGGGCGTCCTCATGGCCGTGGCCCCGGACTACACGTCTCTGCTGCTCTTCCGCCTGCTGCAGGGGCTGGTCAGCAAGGGTAGCTGGACGTCCGGCTACATCCTGAGTAAGTGTCCCCCTGGGATGCCTTCCCACCGGGCAAGTGGAAGGGGAGGGAGCCAAAGGTGGAGGTGGGATTTAGGGGGAGAGGGTACGTTGGCAGGGTCTAGAGAAATTGTGCTAAGTCTAGTATGTGACAGCCTGTCTGACCGGGCAGGGCACTATGTGGGGATGGTCTCCCTCCCTCCCTCCCTCCCTCCCTCTCCCCTTCCCTTTCTCCTTCCTTCCTCCTTCCCTCCTTCTCTCCTTCTTCCCTTCCTCTCACGTTCCCTCCCTCCTCTCTCCTTCCCTCCCCTTCCCTTCCCTTCGTCTGCCTCAACTTCCTTCCCTCTCACCCTTCCTCCTTCTCACCTTCCTTCCCTCCCCCTTCCCTCCCACCCACCATCTGTCCCTCCTCTCTCCCTCCCTCCCTCCCTCCCTTCTACATTCCCCCACTCTCACCTTCCTTCCCTCTCACCTTCCTTCCCTCCCACCTTCCTTCCCTCCCACCTTCCCTCCTTCCCATATCCCCTCCCTCCCACATTCCTTCCTCCCTTGTTCCCTCCTTCCCTCCCTCCCTCCCTTCCCCAGAAGGCTTGTAGGTCACATACTCCCTGGGCCTCTGCTGGTGACTCACTGGTCTCCCTTATTGGCTTCTCTTCTCCCCATCCCTCAGTGTGGCAGGACCCAGGACTTTGTCCTCCCCGTCCCCAAACCTGCTCCACCTGCAGACCCCCACCCCAGCCCGCTGTCTGGCGGTCAGCATGGTCCGCACTTCTCTACTCCTGCTTCTGGCCCCTCAGGGGTCCTGCCGCTGGCTTTCCTTTCACAACACACCCGGGGCCACCATCTCTTCTCTGTTCCTGCCCCTGGATCCAGGCCAACACCATCGCTTCACCTCCACGTGGGTCCCTTGTCTCAACTCAGCAGTGGGCGTGGGAACATGTTGCCGCTTTGGGCACGGGCTCTCCTCCTCATGCGGCCCAAGCCAGCCTCTGTACGGGGCCCCCAGGATGGCTGCAGGTTCGGCCTCTTCCTGGAGATCCTCATCCTCAGTTGCCTCTGCCTGGAATTTCCCCCGTGAGGTTCACCCCCTGCTTTGCTCTCTGAGACACTGAGACCCCTTCACTCTCCAGCTCCCGATCCCCTCCCACCAGTTAACTTTCCGTTCCCCTGGGGCACAAAGTGCGTTCTGGCCTGGCACATGACTTGCTCATTTGCTGGCTGTGCCCTCTGCCCTCTCTCATGAAGATGTCGGGTTGTAAGGGCACGACTCTGCTGTGGGGGCTGAGGACACGCCCCGGACGTCTGGAGAGGTGCCGGGTCCCTGGTGGGAGATGCTTGTTAAGTGAATTACAGTCCCAGGGCCATGAGAAATGTCACAGCTCGGTCTGGAGCCTGTCGGGGCAAAGCTCTGGGGAGGAGGCAGGGCCCGTGTTCAGGTAGACTAAGCCCTAAAGCACCCGAAGGACAGTATAGACAGCAAAAGGGGGGATTAAAAAAGGAAGCACTGGAGAGAATCGGGACTGACTGCCAGGCTTGAGCTGAGGGACATTAACGGACAAGGGGAAGGAGCTGGGGTCAGGCGGGGGAGGTGGGCAAGGTGTGGGTGCTCGCCCGGAGGGAAGGAGGCCACGGGGAGCACAGGAACCCTGATGGTGACTCATGTCCTGTTTCAGTCACAGAGTTCGTGGGCCTGGGCTACCGGCGAATGGTGGCCATCCTCTACCAGACGGCCTTCACGGTGGGGCTCGTGCTGCTCTCCGGGCTGGCCTATGTCATCCCTCACTGGCGGTGGCTCCAGCTGGCTACCTCCCTGCCCACCTTCCTCTTCCTGCTCTACTACTGGTACGCGGGTCCTCCACGGGGGCCCTGCTCTCTCTCCACCCCTGGGACCACGCTTGGTGAACTCCCACTGCCCGGTGACCTTGGTGGCCAAGGGCCGTCCTCCAGTGGCCACGGTGACCTGTCACTCAGGCACAGGGCTACTCCCGCCCTTTGTGCCATTTGGGGTGTTCTAATATTACAGGATGGCCCCATTACGTGGGGGAGCTACCCTCAAACAGAAACTCTTCGAATTTGCATCCTCCTAGAGAGAAGGACAACGCTTCACGTCAGATGAGAAGGCACCTAGCCACAGAGCAGGCATTTGCTGTTCGTTGAATGAATGAATGAATAATGAATGAATGCATGAGAGTTCCTGGGGAATGTGTGCATTAAGCCGTTGTGAGACAAACCAGTCCCATGAGGTATTAATCTTACTAGTGGAGCCTTTGGCAGGGTCCCAAGGCATAGACAGCTGGACAGATGAGTTTTGAGTTTTGATTGTGGGGCAGGGAAGGGGTGTGCAGAGGGCTGTGGAGAGAATATCTCATCCTAGCACCCCTCATCACCATTCTAAGGACAAATTACCGTGGGTAGTGCCGAAGTAGACCCAGCCTCTAAACCAGGGCTCGCCGCCAGGAGCCGTATACCTGTGGTCAGGATGAGCCTGCTCTCTCCCCATCAGGGTGAAATCCAGGACTCCCCCGTGGGGCAGGATGCCCAGGCTGCGTCTCGCGGGCCCCGCCGATGGGCCTCAGCCTGAGTGTTTCCAGAAGACCTCATGCTAGAGATTCCCAATCTTCACGTTGTAACATCCTTGTCCCACAAGGGTCAGGGAGCACATGGAGCCTTGATTCTGTACCAGGAGTTTCCAGGGGGACGAGGGTGGCCAGTGGCTTGCAGAGAGTGGGACCCCTCCCCCATGAAATGAAGGTCACAGAGGAAAGCAGCCGTTCCCTTTTTGCCCCTAAATCTTAGCAGGTGGCACTGAGAGTGTGAGGGACCCACCCACAGAGCTCCTTTGTGGATCCCTGGGCTAGCACAGGATGACTCCAGACCCTCGTCCACTAGCTGCTTGAGGAATTACAGTCCCGAAGTGAGGAGGGTCGGTTTCCCAGAGCCATGGCCTCGCTCCAATCAGGCCTTCGCATCTGCACTCTGGAGGCGCCCACACGTAGTGACGATCCGTGTCCACAGGTGCGTGCCCGAGTCTCCCCGGTGGTTGTTGTCACAGAAGAGAAACTCTCAAGCGATAAAGATAATCGACCACATTGCCCAGAAGAACGGGAAATCGCCTCTCCCTGATCCCAAGGTGACAAAATAGCAAGGGGTTTCTCACATCACTGAACCTTGGGTTGGGTTTATGATTTATTTATTTACTTATTTTTTAGAGATTTTATTTATTTGAGAGAGAGAGTGATCAAGAAGGGGGGGGCACCAGCAGAGGTAGGGGCAGTGGGAGAGGGAAAAGCAGACTTCCCACTGCGCAGAGAGCCCGATACGGGGCTCGATCCCAGCACTCTGAGATCATGACCTGAGCTGAAGACAGATGCTTTACCCACTGAGCCACCCAGGTGTCCCTGGTGGTTTAGAAAATGCTTCTGGGGCTGCCTTGAGGAGCGGGAAGTCCCTGGAAGAACTTGGGGTGATGAGCACAGGAATGGGGGGTGGCTCTGAGGGCTTCTCCCGCTCCCCCAAGCTTGGACACCGCTGATGCTCTTACTCCCTCCTAGATGCTCTCTCTCGAAGAGGATGTCACCGAAAAGCTGAGCCCCTCTTTTGCAGACCTGTTCAGCACGCCACACCTGAGGAAGCACACCCTTATTCTGATGTACCTGTGGTAAGGGACCTTCTGGACCTTCCCCCGCACGGAATCAGGGTGCTTGCCAGAGTCCTGGGGTCTGAGTTAAAGGCAGTGGAACAATGCAGGTGGAAAAGGAGTTTTTAAATGAATTACAAACAGTCAGTGAGCTCATAGAAAGACATCTTTATTTCTCCCTTGAGGATGGAGTAATGAGGGAAAGACGGCATTCCAGTAAGAAGAGTGTGTGACGTGGGAGGGGTCAACAGCAAGATGAGGGAAATACGATGGAGGGACCCCAGGGCTGCCGCCCCTCTCACGGGTCTGTCTTCTGGGAACAGACATGTCTTGACGTGGCATGGGAAATGGGTGAGATTTCAGTGGCTCTCGGTGCTTCCAAAGATGCAGAGCCCTTCCTCACATCTAGGCACTTTAGAGACCCTGCGTGGGCAGAGCTATGCCTTTATTGCCCACTGATTACAAGACCCACTCACACATAGGACCTCACCCACGTACCCCGGCTCACCCCCAGGGTCTGCACCCCTCCCCAGGCTGCTTTCTTGCAGTCCCCTACCCTGTTCCTTCAGAGGACATCAGGCAGGCTCCCCACCCCCCAGGCTTTGTCCTTGACATGCGGGTGGTTCTTAGCAGTCGCTCCCCCAACCCCTGGGGCTCCCCCTTCATCTGGAGCCACTCTGCTCCTTGTGCAATTGTTTCTGCTTCCAGGAAGGTTTTACTAGAACCAAGGGTCCAAGCTAATAGCGTGATGCCTGGCACATGGTAACCTTGCAAATATTTGCTGAAGGTCGAATGAATAACCACAGTTCTATAGAACCCATCCGTGGTGCAAAAGGTGCCAGCCAGGCTGACCGTGCCCTCCCTTTGCCCCTACCAGTCACATGCGTGTCCCTGTGCTGGCCCCAGAGTCCTGCAGCCAGCCGCACGATGGTCCCAGGAGCCTCTGCAAACCCCAGCTGCCCGGTGCACTTCTGCCCCCCACTCCCTCCTCCCCTTTCCACTCACTGCCCCCACTGCCATCCCCTAATGCACTCTCTCCAGGGGGGAGGGGGAGGGGTGTGCTTTGGCCTCTCGGCTCTCACACTCCTGCACCCACTCCCCTGAACATTCTGCTCTGCAGAACTCCCCTGTCTACACCCTCCGCTGGCTTCCTAACCCACTGAGGATAAAACCAAATCCCTTTCCATGGCCTACCATGAGCCGACCCTGGACCCCCCTCCTACTGGCCTTCCCTCCACCTGCTCCTTCCCTCCCAGCTCTTTCCGGACCTGTGACTCCAGACAGCTCCCATTTCTCTGTGGCTCAGCTTCCTCGTCAGCAAATGGGGATCACGGCAGAACCTCCCTCGCCGGCATGTTGGCAGTTTCATGAGATAATTTGTGTAAAGGGCTTTGTAGAATGTGTCTAGTCCCACGGATGGCTGTTTTAACATGTACATGCAATTCATGGGCTCTGCCAAAAGATGGCAGCACT